GTGGAAACTCATATTATCATCTCGGCGCCCTTATCTTGAAGGACTGGCGTCCCACTAATAGCGGGAAACAGTAATTCCTCCGCGGCACCCTCATCCTCGTCCTCTTCCCCCTCCTCCTCAGGAATGAGGCGAGGAACAGGAGGAGAACAATGAGGAAGAGGAGGGACACCTCAGGAATGAGGCGAGGAACAGGAGGAGAACAATGAGGAAGAGAATGAGGAAGAGGAGGGGCAAGAGGAGAAGGAAGAGGAGTTGAGGGGGAGGAGGAAGAAGAGGAGGAAGGGGAGCAGGAGGAAGAGAAGGTACGATTTCTATTTCCCGCCGGAAGGAGCCAGGGCGGTAGCAAAATCAAAGACCCTTCGGGGTTCCCCCCCGGATTCGAATCCGGGATAGGGAGGGGGGAAGGCGACGAAGACGACAACGACGACGACGACGAAAATGACACGACAGCGGCGGCGCAGACAGCGAAAACAACAACGACGACGAGGACGTGCCGACGTCGACGGCGACGGCGACGGCGACGAGGAAGGAGACGACGACGCCGACGTCGACTATGACGACGACGCCGCCGCCGTCGCCGGCGCCGCCGATGACGACGAGGACCCCGACGCCGATAACGACGCCGAGCACGACGCCGAGCACCAAGCACGACGCTGAACACGACGTCAATGCCGACGCTGACGCTGCAGACGCCGACAACGACGACGCCGCCGATGCCGACGCCGACCAGCACGACGCCGAACACGACGCCGACGTTGCCGACGCCGCCGACGACGCCGACGCCGACGCCGACAATGATGCCGAGCACGACACCGACGTCGGCGCCGATATTGGCGACGACGACAACGACGACGACACGACTGTGGCGGCGCGCACAGAGAAGACAACAGCGTGCACGCCGACGACGACGATGACAACGCCGAGGACGACGCCGACAACGACGCCGACGCCGGCGCCGACGCCGACGCCGACACCGACGCCGACGACGACAACGACGATGCCCGGCGCCGGGACCGACACCGACGCCGACGCCGACGCCGGCGCCGGTGCCGACGCCGACGACGACGACGATGATGACGGCGACGACGACGACGACGACGCTCGGCGCCGACGTCGACGCCGACGCTGGCGCCGATGACGATAACGTTGACGACGCCCGGCGCCGACACCAACACCGACGCCGACGCTGACACTGGCGCCGACGCCGACGCCAAAGACGACGACGACGCCGATGCCGCCGACGACGACGAAGACAACGCCGACGCCGACAACGACGCCGAAAACGAAGCCGACGCCGACGCCGACGGTGGCGACGATCGTCACGCTTGCATCGGCCGGTGATTTTGATATCTTTAACCTTTGACAAAACACCAGGGGAAATTGTCCGGCGTGGTTTGCTTGCGCGACCAACGTTTCACCGCACATCGCGCCTTAATGCTTCTCGGCGCGCCGCAGGGACGACTTGGGCATTCGTCGCGCCTGTTGTTCGCGCGCGATTGCCGGCGCAGGCGGGAGCAGAATGTTCCATCGCCTCGTTTGTGGGGCGCCGCGCGAGCGTTTCCGGCATGCGCCCGCAGGAGTGGCAACTGCGCGACGGGCGATGGCGCAGTAGAAGGAGCATGGGTAAAACTCTTTCACGCGATGGGCGGGGGGTACATCTGAGTTGAGAATGAGAAGCGACGCGTCGTGGGAAATCGTGGTATCAGAAGCCAAATCACGGGCGCCGCAATCAAGGCGGGTTGTTGTTGAGTGCCTGGTGGGGAATTAAACGCGGTTGTCCTCGCCGCGCGGCGCGCGACGTTTTCGCCCGAACGACGGGTGTTCGCCGGCGATGCCAAGAGAAACGCCACCATTTCTCAAAGGCTTCCCGCGGCCGCCTAGATTGCGAGAGTTGGCGTTGAGCTCGCGCTGGCCCTGGCAGGAAGCGAATGGGGCAGGGGGGGAAAGGAGGGAGGGGAAGCCGGGGAGGCCGGACACGAGAAACGGAAAAGGGAGGGGGAGAAGGGGGAGAGAGGGTGATGGGAAGCGGGAGGGGTGACGGGAGCAAAGAGGGGAAGAAGGATGAGGAGGAAGAGGAAGCGGAAGGGATGGAAGATAGACACGGCCGTGCATGCTTGCGTCGCGGCTTAAGCATGTCCCGCGGATTGAGCCAGTCGCGCGGTTTTAGCCAGAACGGCCGTGGATTGCTGGCTGCCTGGGCCAGGGTGGTGCACACAGGGGATGGTGTATAGTGGGGGGCGGGGTGGTGAACACTGTGATGGTGCACGCTGGGGACGACCGGTGGTGCACGTGTACGTTGGGGACGCCCACCAACTGGTGCACACTGGTGGTGTTCACTGGGGAGACCGGTCAAGACACATGTGGTGCACACTGCACTACAACTCATGCGCACACGCCCAATGTGCACCCCTCTCGGCGCCTCCAGTGTGCACCACCTGGCCTCTCTGTGCAAAGAGGATTTGGTAGTCGAAGTTCTACCAACCATCTGGGCGCCCCCCCACATTGTGCACCACGAGGCGGGTCCCCGTGACGAGTCCCGTGGGTGTTCGGGAGCGGCCAAGAGGGGGGTGTCCAAGAGGGGGGGTGCAAATCATGACCGGCGGCATGTGCGCGGCCCAGCGGGGGGGCCTGGGACGTAATGAAATAAGAAGAGGCGCCATGAAATCTGAGGAAAAAACATGGCCCGCGCCATGAAATCCACCCCCCCTAGTCATCACCCCCCCTCTTTTCCACTCCCGAGGTGTGCGGGCAGCTGGCAGGGACGACGGAACGAAATATTATGACCCTTGAGGGAACGAGGGCACGGAGAGCCGTAAGCGGAAGGGGACAGGGAAGAAAGTACAGTAGACCGAAAAGGAGGGGAGGGAGGGGAGGGGCAGGGAGCGGAGGCGAGGGGAGCGAGGGGGAGGGGGGGAGGGCAGGGGGGAGGAGAGGGAAACGAGGGACGGGAGGCAAGGAAGGACGGAAAGGGTACGAGGGGGAGGGGAGGGAGAGCAGGGGGGCTTGGGGGGCGAAGGGCAGGGTGGTGAGAGAGGGAGTCTCGGCCCCCAGGTACCTTGCCAAGCAAGACTGAATCACGCTCTCGGCCGAACCACGGCCCCCGCGGAACCGGCCCTCCCCCCGAACGTGCCCTGACCCAGCCCCAGCCAAAAAAGGACGAGGGACGTCGGGAAGCATCGCAGCTCTAGGCCTGTTCCGTGCACTGCGAATCCTAGGCAGGTTTGCGGAGGCCACGCTTCAGGCCAGACCAATCACGGCACGACATGGCACGGCGAGTCTGTCGCGGTCTGCAGACTGGACACGACATGGCAAAGCACACAAGCGTGTCTCGGAAGACCAGGGTGGCCTTGCAGACCCAGCACGGCACGGCAAGGCAGGGCACCCATGTTCCTCTACGACAAACGAGCGCGGCACGGCAGGGCAAGGCACATTTGCTGCATTCTGAAAATCAACAACGGCACAGCACGGCACGGCACTGCACGGCACGGCGGGGCTGTCGACAACAGCCACCGCCGCGAAACAGCAGAAAGGGCAACCGCTCACAAGCCAGCACCCGTACATGAAAGTAGAAGGCACCACAAAAACTGAGAAATCATCTGGAACAGCGCATCGACTGACCCCAATGAACCTGCCGATGGCTTCGTAGCGAACCACGACGACGACGCCGACGCCGACGACGACGACGACAAGCACGACGCCGTCGTCGTCGCTCGCTACCCCCCCCCTCAGGTTCCGAACTTGGGGGAGGCTCTACAAGCGACGCAGAAGGGGCTCTTTCGGGCCTCGGGACTGTCAACAGAACGACTCGGGAAAAAACTGGTCCCGGGGAATGGGTCGAGATCTCTGGGGGTCGACGTTGTGAACAGCGGTGGTTACGTCGTCGGCGGTCTGGGGACGATGGCACTCTGATGAGCGACGGGAACAAACGGGTCCTGCGCGAGAAGACACAGCGACCTCACGCCGCGACTTACGCGGGCCGCACGTGTGGCACACCGCATGGAGAAGCGGGCGTTTACGCGCGGCCTTACGCCAGAAGCTTACACGCGAATGACATGCCCGCGACATGTTCACAATTCTTAAGCGTCATATGATATCCCCAAGCCGAACATGTTTGCCCTGTGCTTGAAAAACCACTGATCATTTTGGTTCCCATTGTGTGTGTATGTGCAAGAACCTCGCGGACCCCTTATCTTGCATCTTCGGGGGACCTTGACTGTCCCGTCGCCCCGCGATCCACGTCGACTACGCGTCGAAATCCGTGTCGAACGCATCGAATCCGTCTCGAATCCGTGTCGAAACCGTGCCGAATCCGTGTCAAATCCACGCCAAATCCTCGACCAATCCACGTCGGAATGCAAGAGAAGACTGCCACTTACGGGACAGGAGAGGTCCCCCGAGGATGCGAAGTAAGACCCCCAAGTCTAGAAGAGGTGGGGGTCCGGGGCTTCCCTGTCGGCCGGCCGGTCGGTCGACCGGCGTCGTCGATCGGTCGGACGGTCGGCCGGCCAGCCATTCGGCCGGCGCGTCGGTTGGTCGGTCGACCGTCGCTTGTCGGTCGGCCCGTGATTGTCATCTGAGGCTCAAGAGGAACATTCAGCTGGCCTGTCTGAGGACGCTGGGGGCGTGTTGCTGTCCCGTGTTCAGAATCGGCGTGGTGGTTCGGTGCCAGGCGCCGTTCCTGTCGCGTGCTCAGGCCCAAGATCGGCCTGCGTGGCCCACCTGCGTCTGCCTATCCTTGTGGCACATGCAGGCAATCCATGCCATGCCGCCTGGTAGCATGGCACGGGTCTCTTGCGGTTGCCAAGTTTAGCTTCGACCCTGGAGGGCCCAGGGGGGGAGGTTTGCGGACGATTTTGTTGGCCCGTGTCTGGCCTCCGAAGCCCTCTGGGGGCCTCTGTGCCCTGGATCTGGTGCCTCGAAGACATTCAGGCGGAGGCTTTTCGTCGTCTTCCACCTCTCGGGGCCCTCAGCGGTCCCCAGGCCCGTCAAAAAAACAACCCCGGGGAAGTGGTCGAGAAGTTGGAGGCCCGTGCCTCCCAGACCCCCGACGTCATGCTTTTTCATGACGTCGACCCCAGAAGCTTCGACCTATTCCAGGGGACCGGTTTTTCACACTGACATCTGTTTTGTTGACAACTCTGGGGCCCTGTAAGAACCCCCAGAGGCCGAAAACTGTGAAACACCTCCCGTCGCGACTTTTTCATTACTCGAGGGGTTCTGGGCTCGAAAGAATCGAACGGCCCGATGTCTTACTCGAGGGGGTCTGGGCTCGAAAGAATCGATTGGTCCGATTTCTGGGCCACGCCTCCCTGCCTCGCCCAGCTCTCCGGGGCTGGGGCGTCCACCGCCTGGGGTGGACCGATCCTCCTGGACCTGGGGGCCCCGGCGGATTTGGATACAGTCGAGCCCAGATGAGGAGGAGGAGGAGGAGGAGGAGGAGGAGGAGGAGGAGGAGGAGGAGGAGGCGGCGGATATGGGTCCATTCGGGCCCTAGGGGGCTCCATTGTTTCCATGTCCGCCGCTCCCTGGGATCCCAGGACGTCGGCCCCCCTGGGGCCCCGGGCGGTGAATATGGGTCCCCCCCCCGCCTGGCAACCTCGGGTTCCTCCTCCTCCTCCTCCTTCAGGCTTCAGGCTGTGGGCTGGAAGATGGGCTAGACTCCTCGCCCCCTCCCCTTCTCTCCCCCGCAGCAGCAGAGCTTGGCTGGGCGATGGGGGCGGGGGATGTGGCCGTGGGAAATACAACACGCAACAGCGAAGGCAATCCCAGGGAAAAGGCAGAACGTGGAGCGGGCGACACGAGGAGGAGCAACAGGAGGAGAGAGAGAAAGAGAGAGAGAGAGAAAGAGATGGGAGGAGGAGGCATGGGAAAGCAGCGGGTACGACGGAGATTGAGGGGCGGGAGTGGGGAGATGGAGGGTCGCCAACACAGCCGAGCCGAAGCCGAATCTCTCCTCCTCCTCCTCCTCCTCCTCCTCCTCCATATCTTCCTCCTTTCTTCTCCTCCTCCTCCTCCTCCTCCTCTTCCTCCTCCTCCTCCTCTTCCTCCTCCTCCCCCCTGCCCATCAATACAGGAGGGGGAGGCGGAGGACGAGGAGGAGAAACAGCCTAACTTGACGGGAGGGGGAGTGGTGTAGGTGTTGGATCAGGGTGGGTGTGGGCTGGGGAGGAGCTCCTGATGGATGCACGAGAGCAGCCTTATTAGCCTCTGCCACTCTGTCCCTTGTGCTGACCTGCTTTGAAAATCCCATTCTGCTCGCTCACCCCTCTCGTTTCGCCAGGTGCCTTCCCGGAATACCCTGCCACTCAAGGCAGGGAGGGCCCCACCGTCTCGCCAGACAGGTCAGCCCTCCAGGCGAGGCCTCACTACCAGTCTGCTGGCAAGTGATAGGCCATCATCGTTACCTCACCAGCTTTACGCTGTTCCTGCGCTCTCAAGTTTGCAATTGCTGCTGGCCAGCATCCAACTGGCCAATCTGCAGTACAGCAGGCCTACCATTGGGGGTACAAAAGCCACAATGGTGGCCACAGTGACGGGGGACCCCACCTAGGAACCGAAACGGTGAATGGGCCTCCGAACCGAAAAGGACACGGGTAAGTAGCAGCCCGATCATTGTTTTTTTGCACTTGGGCCAGCCAGCACAGCCTGCGCCAGTCCCATCACCCTCATTTTGCACGCCGTACTCTATTCACGTTTCATATTGGCTCATTTCTCTGCATCTTCAAATCGTACGCATCTTTTTTAGCTGTTCGAATCCGTTGATACATTTACCCCTCAACTCTCTTTGAATTGCCTCTTTCACCAAGCGTACTTTTCGCTACCGTTATCGGCCTGGCTGCGCCAGACTAACATAATAGATGTGGATGGGTGGGTTTGGTCGAGGAGTGGAGGATGGGGAGGAGGAAGTGGGTCTTCCTTCGCGCACTTGCTTTGCATTTCGCACCTGCTGGTGCATCTCCCCTCCGATCTCTTTTAGTTGCCTCTCTCACTATGCGCTGTCCTCGTTAATATTATCGGCCGGGCTGCGCCGGACCAACCGAATAGATGTGGATTGACGGGTTTGGATTGGAGAGGCGATTGCTTGGAGTGGCGGTGAGCGTACATGAGCTTAAGCACTAGTACGAGCCAGCTCCCGCCCATGGCGGAATCAGTGCTCTAGCTACCCTCTCGCGGTTTCTACACTGTCTGCACACCTTTACCCACGGCCTGCCTGATCTGAATACGCAAGGAGGTACTATGGAGGGGGTAATTGTGGCGGGGCGTCACACCAAGGTACTCAGGCAGGCCGTGCATACAGCAGGCGGCCACCTACTTCTTGTTTACCCGCATCGCCGTTCTTTTCAACCTACCCTTTCCGCGGCGTCCGCAAGGTGTACGTCTCGTTTTACCACTTCACCATGTCGGACGTCTTCCTTTTCATACCATTACAAACCGCTGCATGCATTGGCCTAGAGCCTGAGCAACGCAAACGGAGGCGGAGGAGGAGGAGGAGGAGGAGGAGGAGCGAGGAGCGAGCAGGATGATGATGATGATGCTGCTGCAGATGATGATGCTGATGTTAATGATGATGACGAGGATGACGATGACGATGATAATAATAATGATGATGATGATGATCATGATGATGTTGATGATGAGGATTATGGTGATGAAGATTACGATGATACAGATGATGATGATGATGATGATGATGATGCTGATGATGATGATGCAGATTATGCTGATGATACAGATGATGATGATGATGATGATGATGATGATGCTGATGATGATGATGACGATGACGATGATGATGATGATGATGATGATGATGATGATGATGCTGATGATGATGATGATGCTGATGATGCAGATGATGCTGAGGATGCTGAAGATGACGATGATGATGATTATGATGATGAGGAGGAGGCGGAGGAGGAGCGCATGGAGGGTGGAGGGAAGTCGGCGCCGCAGCTCCAGGTGGTACAGCGCGCTGTTGCCCTCCAAGCCGCTCGCCAGCGCCTTGGCGCCCGCGTCCCGGATGCCGTTCTTGCTTAGGTCCAGGAACCTCGGGGGCTCGGGCTCTTCGAGGACTCGACTTCCCCAGACCCCCTCGAGGAATGACAAGATCACGACGAGAAGTTTTTCGCAACTTTTTCAGCCTCTGGGGGCCCTTACCGGGCCTCAGGACCATCAAAAAACGACTCAGGATGAAAAACCGCTCCTGGGGAACAGGTCGAAACCTCTGGGGATCGACGTCATGGAAAAATCATGACGTCGGGGGTCTGGGTCGAGGGCGCAGGATTGTCCAGGGAGGAGGGAGGGGGAGGAAGAGGATGCGCGGAGGAAGGAGGGGGGATAGGAGGGAGAAGGGGAGGAGAACGCAGGATACCCCCTCCGACGTCTCCGAGAACTTGGCTTCGAAGACGCACAAGCTTGAACGTTCTTCTTACGTTTGGGCCTCCCGGGACGCCCACGTCTCCACGGCCAGATCCACCTCGGAGTTCTGACCATCGGAACACACCCCTGTACAGGTCTGGGGATCCACCTCTTGACATCCAAGCCCAGACGACCAGTCGGTTGTGCGGCCCGTTGGGTGTTTGTGTGGCTCCTTGGGGGTTTGTGGCCTGGCACACGACCTGAAGAGGGTTACTGTGGCCATTCTGGGCCAGGTCAAGGAACCTCGGGGTTCGAACCCTTCGAGTTTCAACTTCGAGGACACAACACTGCCCAGGGATAAAAAGCAGGAAGGGGAGGCGATGAGGAAGGATGATGCAGATTAAAAGGGACCCAACCCTTTGGGAGGCGACCTAGGTTAAGAGGCCCCCAAAAATTAGGGATGGGGGGTCTGTTCTGCAGATGTATCAATCCAAACCGCCCAGAAGTATGATCCCTAATGCAAAGACAGGGGCCTCAGTGAGGCCACGTCTTCACCATGTGATTCGAGTTGGATTTTCTTGATCCTCGCTGAAAGGAGGGGGAGGGAGGGGGAGGGGAGGGACGTAGGGTCCCCCCCTTCAGCGTACGTACTTCTGCGCGTGCAGAATCTGGCGTTCCTTTCAGGACCCCCCCCCCGATCTAGGGCCCAAAAGACACACGGACAATCAGAACCCTGGGACCATGCCTTCACCGGGAAGGTAGTATTACAACAAACGACGCCCTTGATTTTCTTCTCCTCCTACTAAGATGAAGCCAAGACGTGGACACAATAGGGTGAGGATACATCGAAAATATCTGGGATCTTGCGGCTTTGGAAGATGTCTCGGGCGCTGCGGCCTTCTCAAAGCGTTCCGGAACGCTCTGAGACCCGGGACGCTCTGGAACACGCTTATCCTCGTCCTAGCACCCCGTCCGACCTCCTCCCTCCCTCCTTGTGCTAGGCCTGACTGCGCTGTTGTTTGCCAGGATCTTGCCGAGGTAGCCAGCACCCTCGTCGCCGAGCTTGTTGCTGCCCAGCTCGACCGCCCTCACGATTTCGTTGCCCACGAGTGCCTGGCGGGAGAGGGCGGCGCGAGAGGGTAGGGCGGGCAATGGGAAGAGAGTGAGGGCATATATATAGAGAGAGAGAGAACGGAGGACGGCAGCACAAGACAGGAACCATCGCGAGCCACCCTCCTCCTCCTCCTCCTCCTCCTCCTCCTCCTCCTCCTCCCCTCCTCCTCCTCCTCCTCCTCCTCCCCCTCCTCCGCTCCTCCTCCTCCTCCTCCCCCCTCCCCCTCCTCCCCCTCCTCCTCCTCCTCCTCCTCCTCCTCCTCCTCCTCCTCTTCCTCCTCCTGCGCTGTTCACTGGGCGGTCCTCCAAAAGTGAAGGGGCCTGGGGGCACATGAATACAGACACAAATCCGAGGGTTCCCCATATCTGTCCCTGTCTTCTGGATGATCGTCTTCCACCCCTCTTCACCTACGTATTTCCCAGCATCTATTTTCCTGGGAATCGACGATTCATGGTGTCTGTGCGTTTTTTCCCTCCTGAAGAAGACTGGAGGCGACGGAGGCGGAGACGGAGGGGAACTGCGGCCAGACCTAGGACAGAAGAACCTCCATCAAGAACGTAACACCCTCCGCTGACCAAGCATCCCAGACCATAAGATCACCGAGGGCACCCTCTTCAGGATACACGAAACACCCAACAGACACGAAGAAAATGAAGGTACCCTCCCCGAGCCGACCTCGATCTTTATACCCCGGCCCGACCGTATCCGCCAACCAAGGGGAAACGACAAGGTACCGATAATTGCCGCTCCTCCCTGCACCTATCCTGGGGTGCGTTCTGACCAGAATTTCGAGGCGAACCCAGCGGTGGCGACGAGGGCCTCCGAGGAGGCCCAAAAAGTGGAAAACGGGCGAAGGGTAGAGGTATGGGTGCCTTTCCTCTTCCGAGTATCTGCAATCCGCTCGGCAGGCCTTCCAAAGGCCAGAGGCGGCAGAGTTGGGACACGGCGGCGCGACGACGCACGAAGATGGGCGACGGCCGCGCCTCGCTCAGCTCCGCTATGGCCTGAGGCCGCAGGTGCTGCCCCTCGAGCGCGAGGTTCGGCAGCTCGCCCCTCGCGATGCCGGCCAGCGCCTCGCCGTCGGCAGCAACCAGAGGAGGACAAGGTACCCATACCGCTCCCAGACCTCCTCGCGTGAAAATGATACGACGGGAGGTGTTTCACTATTTTCGGCCTCCGGGGGCCGTTCCTGGGCCTCGGGGCCGTCGAGAAACGACTCAGAATGAAAAACCGGCCCCCAGGAAGGGGTCCGGACCTCTGGGGGTCGACGTTTGTGAAAAAATCACGGCGTCGGGGGTCGGGGCAACCCTCCGCCCGTTTTCCCATTTTTCGGCCACCTGGGGGACCCTCGTTGTCGCCACCGCTGGATTCGCTCCGAAAGCCTGGCCAGAACGCGCCGCTGGAGAGGTCCGGGGAGCAGAGATGTCCGATGCTGGGCAGCGCCCCGTGGGCGGCAGCAGCAATCTCCCACGGAGACGGCAACAGGGCGAAGATCGCATCGGGGGACGATGCATCTGAGCAGGGGCCGACCGTCCCGGCACTCCTATATACAGGCCTGCCACGACATGTTCTTACAACCCCCAGAAATTTATGACAAAACCAATGTTCTTAGGCCAACAACACGATGCACTAAGACAAGGCAGTCCCAGCCGGAAATGTTCTGAGAACAGTTCGTAGAACCCACAGATGGTTCTCAGAGCATTGTTTGGTGGGTGGGCCTATAGGCACGACGGGACGCTTCGCCACTGCTTGAGAATCGAGAATCTCTGAGGTTCGGCAGCTCTGGAAGATGCCTCGGGCGCCGCGGCTTCTCAAAGTGCGCTTGTCCCAGCCGGCCCGCATGCCCCCACGTGACCTGACATACGCCGCGCCGCCGAGAGCGTGGCCGCGACGCCAGTAAGCGTTTGCGCGCGCGTGTGTGTGTGTGTGTGTGGGTGCGCGTTTGTCAAAAAAGAACACACACACATGCGCGCGCGTAGACGCGCGCATGTGTGTGTGTGTGTGTGTGCGTGTGTGTTCCAGGCATAGACGCGCGCGGTTCACTGTTTTCCGACCTTCTACACCCTGTCGCCGAGCGCAGGGCCGCGTGCGCGCATGCGACTTAGATGGGCAGCGTCTTCTAAGAAGGCCGCCCCCCTCGGCCCCCCTTTGTGCGCGCCGCTAAGCCACGAGAGATGACGACCAGACCTCTCGACCCAACCGTCCTCGTTTGTATTTGATGTTGCCCAGGCCAGCTCGATCCGTGACTGCCCTCAGGGCAAGACGCGCCCACGAGCATCTTCCAACGACGCCGGAAACGGCCCGGCCGTTACCGTGGCGGTGTCAAATTGGAACGACCACGCACGGAAACTTTGGGGACAATGCCCAACAGCAGAACCTGTCCAAAATTGACAGGACGTTCAATTCGATTCCCGATGAACGAGATTTTCCGTTAAGCCGAAATCCAGCCTGTCCAGGGCGGCAGACGGAACAGCCAGCGCAGTCTGGGTGGAGTCGCAAACGTTCCGTCCTCAAGTCCTCATTTCATGCGCGCTCCAGGCCGCGCCAAACTGTTTGGGAATTTCCAGCACGGAGACTCTCTGTACCCACTTTTGCACCCGCTTGTTGAAGATGAGCAGCGACGGCAATTCCGCCCGCAATTCCCTGACAACAATTCCTGTCGATCGCCCCTACCCTTGACGTCCATCCAACGTTGGTCAACAAACCTTGTTCGAAAAGAACAGGACTTGCTGTTGGGCATCGTACCAAAATCTCTGTGCCCATCCTGGGCGTGCAGATCAAACAACTGTCTATTGAACATGAGAGTGTAAAACAACTGCTCCCGCCAACGGGACAAACCATTGCTACGGTCATTGGAACTTGAACTGGAATAAAGAACGGCGACTGGACCGGGAAAAAAACACGGCGCTGGAAATTTCACAAACTCCGGAACACACGGGAACTATAAGAAATACACCGCCGCTTCCAAGGCAGGACGCGCACAAGAAGACCTTCGACCGACGCCCATATGAGCGCGAGATCACATAGT